GAAAAGGAGGAAAAAAAAAAAAAAAAGAGAGTGAGAATGCAAATCCAGCTATGGAGACTCATGTCCAGCTTAAATAGTTGACCATCGCTCAAAAACTCAAAAAGCACAGAGAGAAAGTGGCCACACAGACTGTGTGTTCAGTATCTGTTTTTAAGTTGAAATTGGAGGTAAAACTGTGGTTATACTGTGCAAGCTGCCATATGCCACAAAATCAGTAGAGAAACCGGTGAAAGATGGCTTCTGCTCTCAAACATCAGCAGTGGAGGTGTACAGTCCAATTCCGCTGTCTATCTGTTTTCCATTTGTAATCAAAATGTTCCCTCTTAGAGAAAAATCAACTTCTGGAAATGCAAACCGCTGGGCATTACCGAGGCTTACAAAAACAATAAAAACACTTGAACGTGCAGCTTTTCTCTTCACAAGATGTTAATTGATGGAATGAAGTTGTGTGGATTACTTGTGAATTCTTTTAATGTTTTTATCAGCTGTTTGGACTCTCATTCTGACGGCACCCATTCACTACAGAGGATCCATTGGCGAGTAATGCTATATTTCTTCAAATCTGTTCCCATGAAAAAGCAAACTTCATTATTTAAAAGCGAAGGAAAGCCAGGAAAAGAGGGAAAATTCAAACGAACTAAAAACGAACAATTGCTTTATTCCGAATTTCTGCTATTTGAAAGTGAAAGTAAAATGCGCACACCGCTTTTACAAGCTATTTAAATGCGAAGGAAAGCAAGGAAAATAGAGGGAACGCCCCCGCCCCCGTGGTGATACCGGTGTTGTCACATGTCGATTAACCAGTGGGAAAATTTCCTCACCGTCACAACCCTAGTTCAGACGTGCTGTGTCAGTCATAGAAGGCAATCTGTTCGGTAGCTTCACGCTGAATCACGCATGCGCAGTATCATCAGCTCATCCGCTCTCAAATAGTGTACTGGTGATCCGAAAACCGATGCAACCGATTCTTGACTCGAGAACGAGAACCGTTCTAACCGGCACGCTGCACGCACTCAGTATCAGCTGCTCTACTCGTGTTCATGTTCTATTTACTACAAACTCAATTTGTGAATGTGTCATCGTTAACTATAATTACAGTACAGGTATTTCATAAATCATCCCTTATTCCTATTAAACATAGAGTCTTAATTATGGTCCAACTTCCCTGACAACCCCCTTTGGCCTATAACCTAACAGAATCTTCAACAACAGAATCTACACAGATTAGATACATTCATCTTTAAAAAAAAAAAAGTAAAATAAAATATATTTATATTATCACACTTTGATGTTTAACAAAATACTTGGATAACATGCTTTTCGTTCTCTTGAAAAATTATAGGCATGCGCAGTATCATCAGCTCATCGGTTCTCAAATCGGACGCGTCCGAAAGAAACGGTTCTCGGTTCAGTGTACTGGTGATCCGAAAACCGATGCAACCGGTTCTTGACTCGAGAACGAGAACCGCTCCAGCAGTGGCCGTGTACGTTCATTACCCGGCACGCTGCACACATGCTGCTCTGCTCCTGTTCATCTTCAGTTCTCTCTTCACAGCAGTTCAGTCACTGTTTTTTACTGTTTGACTGAGTAAATGAATTACTCCGGGATATTGGTTTATTTCGACTCAGAGGGAGTGTCAGCCACGTTAAAAAAAGTGAATAACTTAAGTAATTTGTGGATTA